CCCACCCGATGAGATGACGGGGGACCTCAGGCTGAACAACCTACCCCGATACCATGCTGGGGGACCTCAGACCACACACCTTGTCCTAGCACTGGGCCAGGGGACCTGAGGCCGTGACCCCTCCCGGCAGGGCTTGACAGGGGACCTCAGGCTGCACCCCCCCACCTGGCAGGGCTTGACAAGATGAAGCTGGCCTGGTCTGGATCTTGCCCAAAGGGGGCAGATCTGGCTAGGTCTGGGTCTCAAGAGATTTTGAGGCACCATGAGTGGCAGGGACTTGACTCTGGGTCCCTCAGCATACCCCAGACTCTGACAGGTGGAAGATTTTCATATACATCTTACTAACTTTATTTCATCTCTGACACTTCTATTATAGAGAAAGGGCAAATAGCAGTATTAAAATATTTCTTTTAATTAATCCCCTTTTAATGTGCATGAATTTCATGCACCAGGCCACTAGTATCCACATAAAAGCTAAAGAAACAGCTGCGGCTAAATCGCTCCTTAATGTTTATATCCACCACCTTCAATTAACTCCCGGGGTCCAAAGCTGAAAAATTATAAAGTAGTACCCTTCCCCCCCCCCACACACACACACACTCCTGAAAATTTGTTTCGGAATCAAAGCATTAAGGTTCCTTGCCCTGGCTGGCGGTGCTCAATGATTAGAGTCCCAGTCTGGGCTGTGCACTGGAGGGACTCAGGTTGGATTTCTCGTCAAGGGCACTTACCTGGGTTGCAGATCCAATCTCTTACCCTTGGTCAGGCTCCTGGGAGGCAGCCAACTGGTATGTCCCTGTCACATAGATTTTTTTTTCCCCTCTCTCTCCTCTCTCTTTGTCCCTCTCCCCACTCCATTCTACTCTCTCTAAAATCAATGGAAAAAAATATCCTCACTTCTTTTCTTTTTTTTTTTTAATATATTTTATTGATTTTTTTTACAGAGAGGAAAGGAGTGAGATAGAAAGCTAGAAACACCGATGAGAGAGAAACATCAACCAGCTGCCTCTTGCACACCCCCTACCGGGGATGTGCCCGCAACCAATGTACATGCCCCTGACCGGAATCGAACCTGGGACCTTTCAGTCCGCAGACTGACGCTCTATCACTGAGCCAAACCGGTTTCGGCTCCTCACTTCTTGAGTATTAAAAATCAAACAAACAAAAAGAAACATTAAGGTTCCTCAAAGCAAGATCAACTACATGTTGACATTTAAATTTCAAAGAGGCTTATTTTATTTTTAAGCATATCTAGTACATGGGCAAGTAAAAACCATAAGGAATGGTAGCTCTAAAGCTAAAGTACCCAGGATGACTCTTTGACATTTAAATGTATAATGTTGTGTTTAGAAAAAGATTAACAGCAATTAATGCAATGAACTAGGCAACTAGTCCTGTTTTTCTTGGTATTGCCACTAATGTGCTAGATGTTTGCAGTCACTCAGTGTCTCTGGCCTTCAGATTGTCATTTATAAAATACAGTTGCATTAAATGTCTTTAAAATAACCTGTTACAACAATGTAAGGCATGGAAAATTACAGAGAAATTCTATAGAGCAGTAATATACAAGATTAAGGATTAAACTAGCACTACCCTTGTAGGCTATTAGAGTAATGAGTCATGATTTAAGTAGTTTTATAGCAAGAAATCTACTTCTCAAACCTAATGATTTATTATAACATATTGACTGAGCTTGCTCCCTGCCACTTCCCAAAGACCTATACCTAGGATATTATTTTTCACAGTTAAAACCTCTTATTTATTTATTTTTTTAATATATTTTATTGATTTTGTACAGAGAGGAAGGGAGAGAGATAGAGAGTTAGAAACATCAATGAGAGAGTCATCGATCAGCTGCCTCTTGCACACCCCCTACTGGGGATGTGCCTGCAACCAAGGTACATGCCCTTGACCGGAATCGAATCCAGGACCCTTCAGTCCCCAAGCCGACGCTCTATCCATTGAGCCAAACCGGTCCCAGCTATTTTCACAGTTGAAACCTTTTAAATGTCTTGGGTTTTTAAGAAAACAACACAACAAAAGCAATACTAAATACTAAATGTTCAAAAACTCCATGTAATTGGCACTTGGGATACGCCAAGGGACAAGATAGATAAGTAGTAAAAGAAGACAACGTAGATAAGCCTTTTTTGTTGATGATACTTTTCTGAATAGGAAAATGTAAGGTAAAATGATAGAGGAGGACGCTTTTAGATATACTGAAGCATTATTCCAGGTGTCCCTCTTTAAATTCGGAGAGGAGAGGGCAAAATTCCTTAAAAGTGTTTTCTTTATATTTGAGAAATTAGATAAAAGTTTTGTGTATTCTTCTAAACAAAGAACTTCTTAATTAAACCTTTAAATTCTCAAAAGTAAAATCTGAAGTATCTTAACAAAAGCCATGCTTATCACTAGAAAATTCTTACCATGCCTTCATCTCAGAGCCATCCAATCTCACCTATTTTACTCAAAAGTATTAACTGATTTCTGAACACCCATTAGTATATTTTGTGTAAGTGCATATGCTGGGTTCTTTTTTAAGTACTTTAACCTATACATTTTCAAATCCAACAATTTAATTATATCTTATTTCATGGTTCCTTACTACATCTCAGTATTCCTGAAATATGTCTCACCTTCAATTTATACAACTCTGCAGCTCCAATGAGAGGCTCATGCTATGATTATTAATATCTTTCTATCAATGTATTTCTTTAACCATAGATCCTAATGGGAGAATATGTGGAGGGTTATATGATAATATCTAAACAAGGGGGGGGGGAAACGGTGAAAGGACAGAAATGGAAGTCAACAGTAGTATGGCTACTTGCAAAGTGAAGAAGCTAATTCTTTGGAGCAAAATGAAGGAATTAATTCACGCACTACGTAAGCATTATGCTAAATATCTTTTCGGTTAGTCATGTTGCTTTGAGACTTTCCCATGTTTCCTCTAGACAACTGCCAATGCCCCAATGGTCTCTGATGAATAAACATGCCGTGACTTGCTTCTACGGAAACGTCTGTCATGCTCCAGGGAAAAAATGACTTCTCTAACTCTTAAATCAGGAAAACTGCACACTCTCATTCACAGGTTGCAAAGTCGATTTTCCCTTCATGTTTCTTTCCTGGGATGTTCCTATTCTTTTTTAGGGCATTGCTGCACCCAGAAATATCAGAAAAGCATCTGAGTTGGGGGAACACGTGTAGGCAAACGTTATCCTGCCATCAGAGGGGTGGTCCCACTTTAGAAGCTTAAGGAACACGGGGGTAAGCCTTCCCTGTTTACCGAGATGAAGGTTAAGTTCAGGTTCCCCCCATCTCCTGCGGAACTACCTGTTCTCATGACTGTTTACCCAAACGCTCAGCAAAGTGATATTAGCATATCTGGCAGGAAGGCACGCTCCATTGAATATTAACTCACCATGTGACAGACAGCCCCTTCGCCTCCAATCTCTCCCCGCACACGTGAGGGCACAAAGGGAAAAGTATGGTTGTTTGCAGTCTGGCTCCGCGCTCGGCTTTGGCACCGGCAATTGGCCACGGGCACACACACCCCCGACCCGAGGCGCGCACCGCCCGCTCCCGGAACTGTCGGCTGACAGCTGGCACTCCCTCCGCGGCCCTCCTCGCAGGGAGCCCCTTCCTTGGTCACCTTGACACGGCTCACCTGCCCGGGCCTCCGCTCTGGCCAAGGAAACTTTTTCCTCCTTCCCAGGAGCTCGGTTACAGGTATCGCCCGCCGCCCGTCCGGCGCCCCAACAAGGGGCCCTTTGTTACCATCTGTGCTCCCGGACTCCTCGCCCCATCGTCCCCGGCACTCCGCTGCCCTCCAGCAGCTCCGGGCAGAAAGCAATGACAAAACTACCAGGGCCCCCACCCGGGCGGCCTCCGCGGAGGCCAGAGGAAGCAGCCTCCTCCCCGGCCGCGTGCGCCCTGGCCAGGGTCAGGCCGCCGGCACCGAGCGGGGCCCGGGCCAGGTGGGCGCGGGACCCCCCCTCTCCGCCCTCCCCCCGGACCCCCCTCCCCACCCTCCCCCCGGGGCGGCGCCCAGCTTACCCGGCGGCGGCGGCGGCGGGCGGCGCGGGCTCCGCCGGGGCGTCCTGCGCGCTCGGGGCGCGGCCGTCCATCAGCCTGCGGACCGCCGCGCGGGCTCCGGCTCCCAGGCGGCGCGTCACGGCTGCGGGGGGAGAGGCGGCGGTCAGGGCGGGACGCGCGCCTCCGTCCCGGCCCGAGGGAGGCTGGCGGGAGGCGCGTCCGGAGCCCGCCCGCCCGCGCGGCCCTGCCCCGCCGCCCGCCTCCGCCTCCGAGGCGCTGCCACCTGCGGCCCCGCTCCCCGCCCGCGGGCGCCCGAGCCGCGGCGGCGGGAGGAGGCGCTGCAGCCCCCGCCCCCGGGCCGGCCAGGGAGCCATTGGCGCCTCTCGGGGAGGGAGCGCGGCCCGGGCCCGGGGGAGGGGGGAGGGCGGAGGAGGAGCGGGGCAAGGGGCAAGGCGCGCGGGCTCGCCGCCACGCCTGCAGCCGGCGCAGCCCCGCGCGAACGGGCTGCACGCCCCGGGACGGAGGACAGACCGGGGAAAGTTGGGAGGGCGGTTTTCTCGCTCCCTCCCGGGGCTCCTACTTTCTGTTCAGAGGGAGGCAGAGGCTCCCTGCCCTTCTCTTCCCTCCCCTGGGCTGTGCGCTTGCAGCTCGGAGCTCCAGGCGGGACGTGAAGGCGGAGAAAGCCGCAGCCTCCCCGGACGCAGCCAGCGCTGCCCCATGTCCCTGCCCGAAGCCTCTCCCCGCACCGGCCACTCACCCAGCCCCATGTCCCTGCCCGGAGCCTGTCCCCGCACCGGCCACTCACCCTGCCCCATGTCCCTGCCCGGAGCCTGTCCCCGCACCGGCCACTCACCCTGCCCCATGTCCCTGCCCGGAGCCTGTCCCCGCACCGGCCACTCACCCTGCCCCATGTCCCTGCCCGGAGCCTGTCCCCGCACCGGCCACTCACCCTGCCCCATGTCCCTGCCCGGAGCCCCGGAGCTCGCCGCCGCCTTCTCCCGACGGCCGCGCACAAGTGGCGGCGAGGCTCCGTGGCATCGGAGCGAGAGAGGCAGCGAGCCGGAGCGAGGAACGGGGCGGGGATGGACGGGGACCCAGTGGGAACTTCCTTATGCCAGGGCTTTTGGGGCTTTGGGGTCCGGCTGGGGAAGGCGAATGGAAAGGAGGCTCCCGAGCGGGGTGTTCCCATTCCCGCCGCTAGGGCAGCGCCTGGGAAAGCGCGGCGCCCCCAGGGCAGAGAGGTAGGGAGGCAGGGGCTGGACCTGCCCTGGGAGGACCCCAGGGGAGGCTGCTGTGACTGCAGAAATTCCTAAACTCACAGAGCAGGGTTGCAGCTAGCCCTCCCTGAGGTCTGATCTGCCACATCCAGGGTATTATTTTTGTTGTTGTTTTTTCAACCTGGCCTCTAATATTGCTCTCCTGCTAAAAGCATACCTGTGACACTGTGACCTATCTAATGGTGGCAGAATTAAGCTTGCCCTATCTTCAGAGGCACCTTCCTTCCTTCCTTCCTTCCTTCCTTCCTTCCTTCCTTCCTTCCTTCCTTCCTTCCTTCCTTCTTTCCTTCCTTTCTTTTCGCCTGTGACAGCGAAAAGGGTCTGGACAATAGGGACTGGACAATAGGACAATCTATAAATTAAGAATCAAATGACAGATCTTATTCACCTTCTCTTGGAAGCGAGGAATAAAAAGACCACAGGCGCGGCCGCGCGCTTGATTGTAAGGTTTAGTTCCCACGCGGATGCTCTTTAGGTGACTCTTTACACCTGACAAACAGGTGCATTCGCATATCTTCATGTTATCATAAGAGTCTGTTGTTGTATTGTGCAAGCCATTTTTGATGGGTCCAAAAACTTGCCTTCAGAAAATAACATGAGATTAACCAAGGAATTCACTTTAAACTACAGTTTAAAAATAAACATGTAAACAAATTGCTGTAGAGAGGTTAGGTGAAAAGTATCCTATCAGAGGCCTCTAATGTGGTATTAGCATCAAGTAACAATAATGTGGTAATCATTTAACCCCAGGGTAACATTTGGTAGGCAGAAAAAATTAAATTAACATTTAGAATCAATGCTAGACTAAATGCTCCTGGACTAAATGCTCCTTTAATTATTTATTATTATAGCAACCAAAAAAAAATGGCAGAAACTAAGTAACATATTAAATACCAATATCTATTATGGTCAGTCAGTAATTATTCTTTCCTATGCAGAATATGTTCCTTTCAGTGTATCTTTACATAAAATGTGGTTTGTTTAGGTTACAATATTAGAAGCATGGAGAAAAAAAAGTTGTGTTTTAATATTTTGCCTAATATTAATCAAATCAGTTCATTTCAATGGACCTGGCATTTAGTCTTTTAAAACAACTCGGGTTAAACAATTTCATGAATCATTTATGACTCTAAATGACTAGCTGCTTGCACAGACAATAATGCAAACATTGAGTAACAGTGAAACTACTTAAAGTCTGTAACTTTCAATCACAAGATCAAGATTAAACTTTAATTGGTTTCAACCTTGATTTGTGACATGCTAGAAATACTGTTGACTGTATTAGTTTAATCTGAAATATAATACACTTTCCTAGCATTTCATACTACTGAAGGCATTTTCAGTGCTCACCAACTTTTGCTGTCCTCTTTCTGGTTTTAAACATAGGGTAGGTTTACCCTCCTCACCCCACTGAAATTAGGTTTAGAGATGTAATTTGTTTTTGTAGATAATGTGAGCAGACGTGAAATGTTTCATTTCCTGGTGGAATCACTTAAGGGTCAGTGCTTGACTATTCTCTTTTCTCTGGCTGCAGCAATCATGGAAGTGCATCTTAAGTAGGAGGCTGCCTAGAACTGAAGGATCCTGGAATGCTAAATTATTACCCAGCACAACTGCCCCGGAGAGTCGCAGGACCTACAACAGAATCTACATGAGTGAGAAATAAACTTGTGCTGGATTAAGCCACTAACACCCTGGAGTGGCTGTTGCCTGGTATTGCTTAGCCTACCTTATGTACACAGTATTTCCCCCTTATCCGAGATTGTGCTGTGTGGTTCTAGTTACCCGTGGCCAATGGCAACCAGAAAATGTTAAATGGAAAAATTCTAGACATAAACAGCAAGTTTTAAACTAACTACCATTATGAAGAGTGTGATGAAGTCTCCAGAATCCAGCTCCATCCCACTTGGTCATGAATCATCCCCTTGACCACTGTCTCCACGCTGTATAAGCTCCCCATCCTATAGTTATCTCGTAGCCATCTCGGTCAGAATATGGCAGTGGCTGTGTTCAAGTAACCCTTATTTTACTTAATAATGGACCCGAAGCATAAGAGAAAAATTTTATCTTCAAGTTCTATAAAAGTGCTGGCAATTCGTATATGCCAAAGAAAACCAGTAGAGTCCTTCCTTTAAGCGAAAAGGTAAGTCTGTATAGGAAAAAACAGTCTATGTAGAGTTTGGTTCTATCTTCAGTTTCAGGCATTCACTGGGAATTGTGGAATGGATTCCCTGTGGATAAGGGGGAACTACAGCACAACCATATCGGTTTTAACCTCTGAATTCCCTGACTCCATAGGAACTATTTATGACAATTTACGACAATCAGTGACCTTTTACCCTGTCTCCCAGAAAATAAGACAGTGCCTTATATTAATTTTTGCTCCCAAAGATGCGCTAGGTCTTATTTTCAGGGGATGTCTTATTTTTCCATGAAGAAGAATACGGTACACATTTATTGTTAAATGAAAATAAAGGAAATTTATTACCTGTATACAGTATGGTAGTACGGTAGTTGTCAACACAAACCAGCCAAACTGAATCTTACAGTATCAAGAATTTACTCATTTATTCAATGACAATCATGTCATCATCTTCTGGAACATCATAACAATCCAATTCCTGAATTTCTTGTGACTTCATTTCTTTCAGAATCAGTGGACCAAATCTCTCGTGTTTAGCCTAGGGGGAGCCTTATTTTCAGGGGATGCCTTATATTTCACTCAGAAGGAAACCTGTAAGTAAGTCTTATTTTCAGAGGATGTCTTATTTTCGGGGAAACATGGTATTTGTAATGTTCTAAAACATGGTTTTACATCTGGCAAGCATAAGGCTACTTTCCTCTCAATATATTCTGATTTGGATTAAGTATTGCCTCATAGCTCTAGGCATGATTTCTAAGCAGATTATAAATTTTGCAATCATCTCAATACTATAGAACAAGCTGAGCTATCACTAACAGTATTTCAACACCCAAGAGTTCCCTTCCAATTTTTCTGAAATATCTCACCTTTTTAAACAATATTACAGGAAGTTGAAGAATTTAAGAAGTTGGTCGAACATGTTAATGGTAGTTTCAGAATCCAGTTCTTCCACTAGGGAATTATGTGCTTCAATTGACGTTGGCTATAGGAGTCTAGCAAAAAACAATAAATTGCCTAGTTATTTCAACATTAACGTGTCTTTCAAAGTCGAATCAATTCGGTAAAGTGAGTCATTTTACAATGATCATAGTTTTATTTGTGGGATATTATAATCCCATATTTGAAGGAAAATTTGGAAAATAATTTTGTAATTTTTAGTTTCTTCATCAGTAAAAAGGTGATAAATTAGTATGATATTCTATTTTGCAAGGTTTGAATTATGAATACATATAACAGTTGTACTCTATAAAAAAAAAGTCTGACTGTAACAGATCATACAATGTATCATACAATGTTATCTCTGAGAAACACTTTGGAGATTGTCTGCTCAAACTATCCATTCCATGTATTAGAAAACTGAGAAGTATAAATAGGATTGCCAGAGTTAGTAAATAAAACTACATCATACCCAGTTAAATTTGAACTTCAGATAAACAATGAGTACTTTTTTTTTTAGCATAGGTATGTACCATGTAATGTTTAATTATACTAAAAATTATTTGTTGTCTATCTGAAATTCAAATTTAACTGGGCGTGCTGTATTTTATCTGGCAACCTTACTTACAGAAGATAATTTTTTTTTTTAAAGGGCATGTAGCTAACTATGTGCTGATGCAGGAATAGAATCAGAACAATTTAGTGTTTACAGATTGCTTCAAGAGATAAAGTCCTAGGGTAGCATGTTTTAGAAAAAAAATAACCATATTTCATACCCATCATTTCAATAGAAACTAAAAAACAGTCTCATCACTTAACATGGAAACCTTTAAATCTACTGACTCTAGTTACCAATCTCTGAATTATTTTTATTTTCTCAGAATCTGAAGTGCTCACATTTAAACATCAGTTTCTTTTTTTGATTTTTGCTAATACATGAGGAGCTCAATTGGTCATCCCCATTAGCCAGAACTGAACAGTAGCTATTCCTCAAGGCTTATTTTCTCAAAATTAGAGTAATTTTTAAAATCTTAGCTAAAAAAAAAAAAAAAAAAAAAAAGAATTAGAATCCTATAGCTTTATTCTTATCTAAACTGGATGTGGTAGATGGTTGTTGATTATTTTATATTTTTATCACCACAGCTACCTATATTCATTTTTGTGTGTAACTGAAACAAATCCAACACTTTAACCCTAAGTGCTAGTCTATTAACAGTTCTCAATTCCAGAGAGGGAGGCAGATGGGTGTCGCTTTGGGGCCTTCTTGGAAATGGAGGCAGGGGCCCTTGAGTTGGAACCAAAGACTTTCCCATTTCTCTTTGAGTAAATTTTTTCCCCACACAAATACCTAATTTAATTATTTTACACAAGTTTTCAAAATTATCGACAAATGTCGTTCTATTTGTTTAGTCTCTGTAAGAAAGTTATGTATGGCATTATTCATTACAAATGCATTTATTAATGTTTTCCCTCCTTTTGATCTGTGAAAGTAGGCCCTGGGAAAAGGTCAAGTTGGGGTTAGAAGTTAATGTATCAAGAAAGTTACAGCGATGATACCTGCCCTGAGGGGGAAGTTGGACCACTGTTTTAGATACCTTCCAAATCTAACAATCTTTGGTTTTGAAAGCTGTGTTATTAAGCAAGAGTAGTAGTTGAAGCTAACTCCAAATTCTGACTTTCTTTTATAAAAGTATTCCTTAAAAATATGAAAAAAAAAAACTAAGATCAAAGATAAAATATCTTGAAGTTCAATAAAGTAGATTTAATTAAGAATGCAAACTACAAACCTCGTGCCTTCTGGCAAGCCATAAAGAAAGAGAAAATCTCTTACTAATGTTATAGTAATAATATGTTTGATGTTTGTTATATTTACTAGTAAAGTGGCTAGAACTCCATATATTTCAAAGATGTAATTAAAATTCTTGTGACATGTTTATACGTCAAAGTGAAGGCATCATTATTCTTATTTTAAAGAATGCAGCTCAAATTTATTATGGGATTACCTCAAGGACACACAACAGTGGAAGAATAGTGCTGAAGTCTGCACATTCTTTTTTTGTTTTGTTTTTAATTCTCACCTGAGGATATTTTTCCATTGATTTTTAAAGAGAGTGAAAGAGAGAAATATCCCTGGGCTGGGGAGAAGTCTGCAACCAAAGTATATGCCCTTAATTAGAATCAACACAGGACTCTTCAGTCCGCAGACCTACACTGTATCCACTGAGCCAAACAGCTAGGGTGAAATCTGCACATTCTTAGAAGACAATTAGCTTACCTTAATACCAAGAATTATTTTATAAAGCGCACACACACACACACACACACACACACACACACATATATATATATATATAAAACTGGGAGTGCTGTATTTTATCTGGCAACCTTACTTACAGAGGATAATTTTTTTCAAGGGCATGTAGCTAACTATGTGCTGATGTAGGAATAGAATCGACGCCTAACTGCTCCCCTGATGTCCCAATTGCCCCTAACTGCCCTTCCCTGCCAGCTTGGTCACCCCTAACTGCCCTTCCCTGCAGGCCTGATCTGCCCCACCTACCCTCCCCTGCTGGCCTTGTTGCTCTTAACTATCCTCATGCTGGCCTGGTTGCCCCCCAACTGTCCTCCCTTGCTGGCCTGGTCACCCCTAACTGTCCTCCCCTGCAGGCCTGGTCACCCCCAACTGCCCTCTCTTGCCGGCCATCTTGTGTCCACATAAGGACCTTCATCTCTGACCACATGGGGGCGGCCATCTTGTGTGTTGGAGTGGCAGTCAATTTGCATATTACCTTTTTATTGTATAGGATGGCATTATCCAAAAGTACTGTTTTATAAAAAAAAAAAGTATCATATGCAAATAGCTTAAAGACCTTAATTCTTAAAATAGATTTGAAATCAACTATGTATTTTGAAAATCTTTCAGAAAGGATAACTGGATAAATCATTTATTAAAATACATCAAAATGCTGTTCATTTTTGTCGTATTATTTGTCTTCATAAGTAAATGGATAAAGTTGGGAAGCTCTTAAAACAACAGCTAGCCCTAGCTGCTGTGCTGGGTTGGGCTTATCCCACATTCACTGGTTTGATTCCAGATCAGAGCACATGTCCAGAAGCCCATGGGCGTTTCTTTCTCATATCAATGTCTCTCTCTCTCTCTCTCTCTCTTTCTCACCCTCCCTCTAAAAATCAATAAAAACATTTTAAAAACAAAACAAAAAGAGCTGAGCAGTGAATGGGAACACTTATAGGGTTTGGTAACTTTTTATATTATTAGTATTTTACATTTTGTTTTATTTAACATTTCATTGTATTTATACATTTAATTTTATTTATACATTTAGTACTATTATAATATTACATATTTACTATTTAATGTTATGCATTTACTGTTTATTTATGGTTACTTATTTACATTCAATGTTTGCATTTAACAAAAATATAATAATAAAAATTATTATCCAGACCTAAACAAATAAAATACACTATTTGGTACTTGGTAAATACCTGCTATAATGATTTAGTCCAATAAATATATAAAGATTCAAATACACTTTTGACAAAAATCCCGAAAGGTCATTATTCTAATCTCAATTTTAACTCTCAGGGAGGTAAGATTCCATGCCTACACAGAGAGACAGCGAGGATATTTAAATGAAAGTAAAAATCTTTACTTTGTGATTGGCCATTAATTATGTTAATAAAATCTTGCTTAAAGCAGAGGTTAAAGAAGTATCTAGTTACTGAATTTAATAATTCTGTGACATTTCTAGAATTTGGTTTTTATCAACAGCAGAAGATTTCATAATTACTTGGTGTTCATGTCAAAAATATTGGTTCCTAGTCTTCTTATCCTCTCCCACATTGCCTCTTCAGCCTAAGGTAAAGTACAGCTCAAATATGAGAACCTCAAGGATAAGCCATAATAAAAATATTTAAAAATATCTTATTGCCCTCATTTATCTCTGCTGATACAGAAATTGGGAGATTCCCTAGCTGTAGATAGAACTTTTTAAGGATGTCAGTGTCCTATTGCTTAGCTCAGATGTTAGTGTACAGAAAGTTCATT